TGTTTGAGTTTCAATAAATTAAGGTTTTAAGTTTTAAATTTTATTTCCGCTTGATGTATGATTATGGAATGATATCGGTAACTTCTCAAATTTAAGTCAATAAAATCTGGGGCGTTTCACTAGTCATACAACACATAATAACTTCTTTTCAAACTTTGTTTATTGAAAAATTAGCACTTGTCTTTTGCTGTTCCTTGGAAAACACCGGGATTGCTCAAATCATCTCCCCTTCTCAAGGTATTCTCCTTGAATTTCCTAATGTTAAAATTTGGGGTTCCATCTTTAAAGGTTAACCTTGTTAATAGGAGTAACTCAAGACCTTATAAGTTGGACTATGTTTTCATCTTTATTCAATGTGGGATTATATTCCTTAACATACCCCCACAAAATAGTGTCTCGTTTGAGCAAATCAATCTTGAAATTCATGTGCTCATTTTTAAGTTTTAATTGGATAGAACTACTCGTTAGGACTCTGATACCATATTAAGATTTGAGATTCCATCTTAAAAGATCAACCTTATTAAAAGGAATAATTTAAGATCTTATAAGTTGGTCTATGTTTTCATCTTTATCCAATGTGGGATAATATCCCTTAACACCTAAAAGCTAAGAATTTGACCATGAATTGACATAAACATCCTTTTTTCACGCATTCACCTGCATGAAATTTTTTACATTTATTTGCATGGTAGAGTGGCTAGACATCTGAGCACATTATACAAAAAGGCATTCTCATTCTCAAGGAAAGATTCCATCACATCATTGCTTCCCCAAAAGAAGCATCATGGATCAAGTAGGCAATACTTTTAGTTGTTAATTTATAATTTTGCAAAGGAACTTGGGCAACAGTCATGAATAGCAGTTACACCACTAGAAGCAATGCCATATGGAGTGAAATATGTTTATTCTGGATAAATATAGTGTTGAAGATGTTGGAGAAATGGGCACGTATACATTACCTGTACAATCATGAAAACTTCCTCCAAAAGTTTAAGAAAGCCGTCGGGTGACAGACTTTTCAACTTAGTTCCTAGCGATGAACCTCCACCTGAATCATTATTTAGCATGTAATCAGAACAAAAAGGTAAGAGTTTACAGTTAAGAACTTCTAGCAAAGCTGGATGGCATATGTAATAAACCGACTCCCAATAATGAAATTTAAATTGCTTATCAAAAGCAAAAGAAGAAAGTGGATGTCACTTTAGGCGTGTACATGCTATTTAGTCCGAAAATCAAACTTTCATGAAGGGTCAATATGCAAGTGAACCCACCATCTGCATCCACCATCCCATCTCCAGAAACAGAATCCAACTCCAAATGCATTTTCTCAACTGCCTGTTTGACAGAAGTTTTTATTTCAGAAGCAAGTGTATCACGGTATATTCTCAACACAGCAGGTAGCTTTCCCTGAAATGAGGATCAGACATGAGATGATTCTTCAATCTAGGCATCAAGAATTCAGCTATGCAAGTAACCGCTCGGATGATTTGTAGGTAAATAGTCTAATGCATGATAAATATAGAACTGACCGTTCTAAGCAATCCAATGATAAGAGGAAGAAGCTGGTCTTGAAAATTAGCAATCCGCTCTTCCTCTAGTCTAACCTGCATTGTTTTAATATTTGTCTTCATCATAAGTTGTTTGAAGCCGGAAAAGAGAACCAGAAACAGAAAGTAACTAATGGGCAAAATCAGATATGACAACAATAAAAAATAATGAAGTAAAGAGAAACATAATCAGAAAGCTTCCAGACTGCCAAAAGAGACATGACAGCAATCAAAAACAGTAACACAGGGATACAAGAAGCACACTGCATAAGGACCACAATCGAGGAAAACAAGACCCCAAATTACAAAGTGAACCAGAAAATCATCTAGAGCACATCAGCTTACCGTAATCAAAAGTGAAGGTAACTTCAAAGGTAAGCATCTTTGGAATCAATCAAAACCCAAGAAAAGAAATCAAAAAATATTGATGTCTGAACATAGCAGACAACAACCGCAGCGTTTCAAACGTCATATTAAGTAATATTTTCATATCTAGAACAATAAGGCAGAAAACCACTTGATGATAACAATGCAGATGAACAGAAGAGCCTGAAATGAGTAGGTTCTATGACAAACTCCTTTTCCCATGCACAGAAAGAAGTAGAATCCAAGACATGAAAGCTTATGGAATAATAGATATCAGCATTACGTG